CATATGTAATGGTTATAGGGTTATTATTTGGCGTTCAGAATCTCTCGTTTGTGAAAATAGCATATAGCATATGAAAGTGAGACCCGTGTCGAAGTAGAAAAAGTGTACAAATAAAGTCCGCTTCGAGAACACAGCTGTTTCGATGCAAACATGAAATATGTTCAGGAAATTGAGCTTTAATTCTGCACACAAATTTTGAAAAACAACGCAGCCTTTGGATTTATGAGTTGTTGAGTCAATGAGTGTAATATTAAAAAGAAAATTCAGACAAAAATTAAAAATTATTTATTCCAATTCCTTCATGAAGCCGGGACTCTGTATAAAAGCTGATAGTCGATAAACTGGACAAAAAATCCTGCCTTTTATACAACTCGAAGATTCACTATTGTCTTGACAGTACTACCACTGATTTCTGTCCTTGCTCAGTTGCCTTAACTTCACTTTCTTCATTCATATCCTTGGGATCTGTTTTAATATTATCTTCATATAAATTCTTACACTGGGCTCAGAACATTTACAAAATTTTGAAATAATGGGGTAAAGTAGTACAGCGCATGCGTACTGTGGCCTGCCCTGCTGTTATTTCAGGCATACAACAACATTAACTTAGAGACAAATATTGTAACTGATGAATGTGTTAGTGACCTCTTGCAAGATTAACATTTTTAATTCTGACGATTATAAAGAATTATATTCAATCGCTAATTGCAGAATATTGATTAGGAACTACGGGTAAGTGGCAAATGTTTTTGATTTAGGTCATAATTTTACGACCATAAGCAGCGGCACACTTTATGACGTCACCCAGTGAGCCCAGTGTAGATTTTTTTTCCATATGGCATCTAATGTTGAAATTTTCCGACAAAATTATTATGAGTTTTATTCATTTTCAACTCATGCTACGTGCTCCACCCATCTCACGCCCCTTAGTTTGATCACCCTAATAATATTTAACGAAAAGTAGAAATTATAAAGGCTGTAGAACTAGACTAAATATTTTATTTCATCCCACATAGGTTACAAATAGACCTATGTCTGCCCTTTGAATTCATTGACAAGGAGTGAAGTATACCGTGTTATTGAAAATGTCACAAACACCAAATTTCCTCTGAAAGACAAAAGTAAACTCGAAAGATTATGATTTTGAAAGAGTCTGTGATGAGTTCTAAAGCTTGATATACGATATTCATAAACTGAATGAAATGCGTTAAATTCAATTTTATGCTAGTTTCAATTTTAGAAAGATAATCACAAAGCTATTCCAGAGGGTTTAGAAGTTTCTATTTGAAGGTTTGTATTTTATTGGGTGTCTCATTTTGAATGAAATATATTTTGACGGAGTGAAGTAGGGGGGGAGAGAGGAGAGGAAGTATATCGGCAGAAATCGATGGGTTACCTCGATGAAACTTTGCACCGGGACTCTGTTCACACGGCAGGAAGTTTAACTTGTCTTTAAACTTCGCTCTCCGGGGCAGGACGAACAAAGGATTCGAAACTGTTAACTTATTAACTAACTCGACAGAACAGAGTTATTCTTGAGATACTGACAGTCGCTCAACTAGTCAAGAATTCCTTGATCTCTTACAGAACCTCAAACTTTATTATCGTGTTCGCAAGAGTTTGCATCTGAATCTTATCCTCAGTCACTTGAATGCAGTCCATATTCTCATACTCAATGTTTTTAATGGAACATGGATATTTTTATCACTTACAGAAGAATTTTGGATGTACTAACACACAGATGCACAGCAATAAAGCCACTACTTCGTGATGTGTTTGTTTCTTTTTTATGAAAAAGAAACATACAAAGAGGTAGTAATCTGTGGAATGAATACAAACTAATGTTTCTTTCGTATGTGCAATTCCTAAATCCGCCATCACACTCGAAGTTATTGATGAGGATAAATAAGCAAGAAGAAAAATTTGTTTAATCTCCATTCCAAATCTAATTATATGTTGGAATTTTCTTTTCAGTTCGCATATTCTACCTAATGCCTTTAAAAGCGTCTGTAATATTTTATATTTGGTTCCATTTTACTGCTGAAATTTTAACTTAAATGAAAAGCAGACGTTAATTAACTTTACCTATTCTGCGAACTCCCAGAATTATGTTGGTAACTCCCTTCTGTCTGTGTGCTGATACTCATCTCTATAGAAACCATGATGGTGCGTGTGTGGGATCCTATTCCGTTTAAAAATAAAATGAATGGAAACATTCCTGTATCTGTTACTGTACATTAATGTGTCAGGTCTTCATGCCAGGCAAACACAAAGGGTGACATTTTTCTTAACTTCTTGGTCATTTGTCGGGACAGTTGCAGTGATCTGGCTGGTCAAGGCTCTAGAATTCATTATTTGGAAAACTCTCCTCCTGAAGAAGATAATATTTGTTTAGCTAGTGAAGAAATTCTTAGATTTTATGACAATGTGAAGGTCATTATCGTACCGTTTTCAGTAGTTCCGGGTACTGGCTCATATCTTGAGGCAAATGATTGCAGTCCACAACTTTATACTTAATTTATTTAATATATATATATGTCATTATTATCGTTTCTTCCTCGCCCAGGTCTCTGAATGTAGTTTATTTAGTGTCGGTTATAATTTGCCAAACATTATTGTCGGGATTTGTAAAGTGTGCGCATTTTTACATTACGTTAACAGCGGAATAATGTTTTTTCTGTTATTTTGTGCTGGTAAAGAGATTTATGAACATTTAGAAGAAATAGGAGACTAAGTTCTGAATCGGGCTGTAACTGCAAGGACAAAAAATAAGGTATCCCTGCCTGATCTCTGCATACGGCTGTGCTTCACAGGCATGTAAGAGAAGTTGCCTTCGATCCAGGCGCGGTCATACACAACTTTGTTGATGCCTTTCTAGAACTTTAAGTTAAAAGATCAAGGCTTTGAAGTAAAAATTGATTTTGGAAATTAAGTTTTGTTTTAGACATTGTGAATATATGTGAATTCTAAGAAATTTTGAACCACAAAGACGTCTCACTGAAAATAATTTCATAAATAAACCACTTTAAACCACTGATTAAGTAATTATGGTATTCACTTGAACGTCGTATGATTTTATTCAGGTGCTATGATCTATATGATAAGGCCATAAAGAATTCAGATAGTAATAATATCATGGCGACTTAGAAGATTTGCCCTATAAGCAGCAGGTCAGGATTCGTACGTCGAGAAGGTTTCAAATCTTACGTAATTTAGTGTTCCATTTATGTGCGAAATTTCAATTTGAAAAGATTACCAGTACGTTAGATTTTCTCGACATAACTCTCGAAGACTCTCGGTTGTCATGCATCCAATAATCCAACAATTACCTACTTCAAATAGAGAAACAAATTTAGATATCGTATGATCCTATGACCTTGTTTTACATATGAAAGAAATCTCGTAAAATGTTCCATAATTTTTAAGATTTATTACGTACTACTTTTAGAGAATCACATACAGCACACATTTCGCAGGTTAGTAGGTCATTCTTAAATATATTACTGATGATAGGGAATTAAAAAGTACAGATTTGGGGTGTCTCCTCGTGGCATGACGTTCATACGAAGTTAAATGAAAATTTGTTGATTTATTCAAAGGTTATAAGTTGGATCAGATACATTGGCAGACAGACGGACTCGATGATACCATAAACCTTTGTTTCTTTATAAAATAAGGAATGCAGGCCAAAAATGTAATTCAGTGATGGTTACATAGGAAAACCAATAACGCTCGCAGGGGAAAGAGGTTAAAATACAGGTCCCCGAAGACAGTTCGATTATAGTTTGCATTTTTACATAGACCTATGTAAATAAAAAGAGTTCACTCGGTATTCTTGATAGGAAAACAGAGGAGTTGCATCCTACAATTTTAATATTCTGTGTGCTGTTTCAAGTCGGTTGTAAAGTTCAGGTTCTGTATTAAATTTCTTTAAGGTCACTGTTTCTAATATTCCGTAGAATGGAAATACGTGCAATTTTTGTACGTTGGCATTTCAAATAAGTTATTTTCTCAGTTCCATGCCTAAACGTAAGTTATTTTTAAATTATGTTTATGTATTATCTGAAAGGTTAGGTACTTTTTTTAGCCAGTATTATGCTATAACATAATTTTTTTTTAAAATTTAGGAAACATAATGGTGCTTTGAAGATCACAGCCAGCCAGTCTGTTTTGTCATTCAATCAATCAGCTAATCAGCCAGCCAGTCAGTCTATACGTCATTCAATCAATCAGTCAGCCAGTTAGCCAGTCTGTCTGTCAGTCATTTAGTAAATCACTCGGTCATTTAGGAACTCATCATATCAGTAAATATGTTGATGATCCATTTATTTGTTTGTGAGATTTTTAAGTCTGGAGAAATTTTTTCGTTACCGGCGACCTGTATGAAAGTGTGTCCAGGAACGGTATCGATCTGACAAGGACAATCAAGAGTAGGGAATTGTCTTGCATTACATCTTGTCGCTATGAATAACGGAGCGTGACTCCACCACCTGCATATTCCAACTTCGCGTTCCCTTGCCTCACCCCATAAATAATCAACTTTACTGACGATACTGTGTGTCTCCATGGCGGTATGAAGGATTTTGTTCTTGTTCAGAATTCTGAAGATGAAGTTCGTCAACAGTTATTAGTCTTCACCTTTGCTGCTGCTGACTTCGGTTAACTTATGTCGCTTATGTGTTCCTGAGTTTGTTCTAAGCGCGTTCATCTGCGCCGCTAGGTTTTAAACGTTTTATCATATATAGGGCTGTCCTTAGGGCTGGGCGAGCAGCCTTTATGGGCACATCAAGATTACGATATATGAAGTAATTTGTGCACGACGATACCTTAAGAACGTAAGAAGTAAAAATGTAACATAAAGCAAATTAAAGCATATTAATTTTTTAAATTCCGAAATAGGAATCAGAATACACTCTTTATACAGCTTGGCCCCAGTAATATTAAACTCATAGGTTATCTGTTTTTATTTTTTTGTTTTGATTTATTGTTTTTGCCTGTAGAAATCTTAAGGAAGGACCCCCACATGGACTTCTTCACCCCGAGCCTCGAACCCCCAGAAGGGATGACTCTGAATACAGGATAAGTGTTAAATATCTTCGATTTTTTTGTCTAATGCTGTCCCGTACAACGAACATTACACACTTGCTTGAAAATATCGGTCTTTATTTCTTACTACAGCAATTGGCCTGTTTTCGGTCCCTTCTTTCTTTATATTTTTTCCTTCATCCTGTGCCTCTTTCCATGAATTCATTTCTGAATCTGACTGTATTTAATTACAATGTTGTTACAAGGGTTCTAAACTATCAAACCAGTAATTGGTTCTTAGTCGGTTAATGCACAGCATACTTTTCAGCGGCGGTATATTTTCATTCCAGTGCTTGAAAGAAGACTAGTAGAAGATTTTAACTGGTTGTGTGGGAAAAAACGAAGTTATTGAATATTCACCCTGTTTTTGTTACACTAGCCAAAAAGCTCGTTCATCGCCCTGGTTTTTCTTAAAATAAACTGCCCGTTACTATCATAATGAAATGGCGTCAATCGTCAATCTCTCAGCTGATACATTAAAGTTAATGCAACATAAGAAGCAAACTACAAATAATCCTTAGTACCACCAGAATTAAGTCTATACACAAAACGGAAGGACGTGATATAACACACAATTTAAATTGTTTATCGCTGACGCTGCATGGTGACATTTTTATGTAATAAAGAACTGTGAAGTTACGAAATAGATTCAGATATGGGGCGTTTCAAATACTATAAAATCAGTGTATGATTGCGTATCAATCAGATAGAAGATGGAAAAAACTAGAGAGGTAACATGGTTTGTATTACAGAAGATATGTTGTATAATGTGCGTGTAGCTTTATAGGTCGTTTCTGGTATGTTTTAAAGTTTTGTATTTATTTAAAATTCCATTATAATTGCAGTACAATCCTTGGACAAGTCCATCGCGTGGCACATTTAAATTTCGTGAATATGTTCAGGGTGGTATGTCGAAAGTAGTAAAATCACGTTTGGAAATTTAGTATCATGAATTTAGAACATGAATATTTTGAAGATGATAACACTCACTAATCATAGTGAGTAGGTTTACAGACCTAATACGAGGCAAGTCAAGCGTAAAGAATAAAATTCTTTTGAATCAAATTATAAAATAATAAAAATACAACGTTTCGGAAGCTGGAATATTCTCCCGTCTTAACATACCGCCTCTCTGTTGGGTCCCCTGGTTGAGCTAGCCTCAGACCTGGACAAAATGTCCCGAAAATGTCATCTAAAATTGACTTTTACCTTATGTAAATTGTATGTTGGTTTGTATCATATCAAAGCAGCTTTAATTGCTCCTGAACTGAATGCCCTTGTGTTTTCTAGTACACTACATTTAATTTATGTAGCTTTAAGAATGATAAAGTAAGACGGATATGGAAAGATGCCTTGGTCTTTAAAGTTATCGTTTTCCTCTGGATTTCCTTACCAAAATATTGCATGCGTCTCTCATCTCGCCTATGTGTTCAATATTTCCTGTCAATTTCATTTCCCCTAACAGTATTCGATGAGGACTAAAGCATTTTGTTTATTTTTCTATAGTCTTCAGTTACTTCCTCACGCTTACGGTTATATGTTTTCTCAGAAGTTTGTTCTCAGACTCAAAATTTATTTCTTTTGGCACGGTCAGGAGTTTAATCTTATGATGTAACTACGGGCCAGAGATTCTGTAACACCCCGCCGCATTAATTACTGTGACGTAATTAGGGCTTTAACTCTTCAGATTGAGAATTATCTGAGGCAGGCTTAGTGAAGTTAGAAATATTTAGACGAGGTTCTGTCTTTTTACCCTGGTTTATCCAACTCGACTGTCTTCAGGTAAATTCACGTATTTTTAGTGGAAGTAAAGGTTTTCTTATGTTCTAAGTATTAAAATGTGGTAGAAATGGGTGTGCAATTTTGATACTGATTTTAGACCTAGTACCTGGAAATTATCAACGACACTATTAGCAGCTCAGAATATTTAGCGTGTTTTGTAAGACCGAAGCCATAGGAGAAGTCAGTTGTTTGGTAAAATACAAAAAATATAAAGACGGAAATGTATATCACGTGTTTAAAATCTTAAGTGATGGAATATTTTTGTATAGGACGAGCTGTTACGGTACTGCACTATTTACTTTATCAATATTAAAATGTTGCCATGTTGAAATGACACTTCGATAGTCGATGTTTTTCTGGTTTCGTTCGCTTCTTGCTTGATTTCAATACCTGTTTTCCATTCATTACCGCTTTACCCTGCTCTAAAAATAATTAATCTTGAGATTGGAAATACGTGATTTGCAACATCTTTCTCTTTGTAAGATTTGAGGTTATCACAGCGGTGAGTATGAAGAAATCTTCATCTTTCTCTTGACTTTTTCTTTTGCCAAATAACAGAGTTCTTCTATGGGCGCGGACTTACGGGACACTCTTTATAGCATCCAGTGATGAATGATTAATGAATGATCAGGGACGGATATGGAAGGCTGCATGCTGGCGTATGACTGGAAGAACCGTGGGACACCACGAAACACCTCAGTAAGGATAGACGGTCTCTTGGATGAGATCTGAATCCGGTACCTCTCGAATACGAATTGTTATTAATCGGTGGCGACGCTCGGTGGGAAATATATAGCAGTTGTCAAAATGTGATGTTTGATAGTTAAACATGGTTGTAGTTAAGATTATATGCCCATTACATTCCGTCAAATAAAAAAGGAAATGAAACTAAAAATTATTATCTGTCAGTATGGGGAAGGGTAGTGATGGGTATTGATCGGATTATTTCGATGCGGTGGAATATCAGCTCATGGGAAATCCTTTGTCTGCATAGAACGAGCACTGAAAATTCTGATCGTACATTCATTCTCTCAAGAGAGATTTGAACAGCTATTTCAGTGTTAGGATGGTCCCTCTCAAGACCTTTATAACGCACGAACTTTCGTCCGTCGTAATGCATGGAACTGGTAAAAGAGTTGTTAAGTAAGCAAAGAAACGAAACCATATTTTTACCCTAGCTTGTTTAATATTAATTTTCATATTTTTTTATACATTAAATTATTTCTGCCTGTTTTTACAGTCTGTGTTTATGTTGGTAATATTTTGTATGTTTGTTTTACTTATATAACTTATCCGTAAATTCTGTACCACAACAGAAACTCCGTGTTTCATTAGCATTGTTCCGTCATCTTTAACTGGAGTAACCATGAGGTAAGAAATAGGCATTACCTCCGTTGGGCCGAGTCCATTTGCGTGCAGAATTTTCTTAACTGTGAGAAATATTTGATGAACGCTGAAGACGGTAGAATACAGAAACTCGTTCGACGTGTTTAAGATTATGTAATATCTGAGTAACGATTTTCTCTCGTTATTTGTGTCAATTCTGCTTTTTATGGAAATGCTTGCAGTAACCCTTCTATGTGATAAACAATTTATTTATGGAATTTATATTCATGCAACTTATCACATCAAAATAAGAATGACAAAATTATACATTTATAAACCTTATAACCGATAAACAGTGCACAAAGAAACGATAAATAGACATTGAACACACAACGACATAATACGAGAGAAACTAAACAATAAACAGACAGACAAAAAACAAACAGTATACCATCAAACGATAAAAGATGAAATTTCGCAGTAACAATCAATCCAACAATAAATGATGTAACAAAGAAGCTACAACCGGATAATGTATCAACAGATGAGCTATGGTGATGGTTCATTTAACGACACTTTAGTATCTCAGGCGTTATATTGTGGAATGAGAGGATGATTAATGAATGAGTTAAAAAATATGTGGCATAATTTAAGGTACCATACTATACCGTAATTTGTCTAGAAATGCTGAGAAAAATAACAAAAATCCTCAGTCAAGATAACCTCTCACCGGCCCCAGATTTTAACCCGGGACCTCCAGAATGCGAAGTGTAAATGATAACGACTCGACTAGAATAACTGTAAAAATGAAATAAAAATCTGGCAAAATACGATATCACAAAAAAGTAAGAAAGTTTAGTGGAGAGTAGACGCGCTAAAACAGCAGCAATAAGAATGAATAAAGAACAAGCTAAATACAAAAATAATAAATAACAGTGGAGTGATTCATCGCCCCATTGCCGGGATCAGATTTTTGACGTTTATAGTTCATATTTGATTGGAGACGGGTTCACCACCATAAAGTTTCCGAATGTAGCGATATATAACAATATACTTTGCATTTGTTTTAAATAAATTTAAGAAACGCATCACAAAGGAAGTATATTGGATACCAGCAGACAACTTTAGTACAGTTATGCTGCTAGATTCCAGTCATCGCTCGCGTTTTAGGCATCGCAGATCTTGTGGAATCTTCGAGAAACGTAGCAAGACGCCAGTCATTTTATAATCAGTTTAATCACTTTAAATTTCCACAATTAGCTCTTACTACAGAAAATGTTTCGTTCTCACCTTCATGACTCGGCCCTTCTTACAGGGCTATTGTTCCGACTATAAAGTCTGTTTTATGATTTGGTCTTTTACACCTGTCACACGGTCTATAAATTATTTTATGATGTTATTTTGGGTTTTGGTGCCTCGTAGACTACTCGGCAGATGATAACGTTTCAGAGAATCGTACTGACTCAGTCTTCATTCCTGTACGTTATTATCCTCACTTAAAATATCCTATAAAATATTTATTCGTGTATCTTACAGAACATTTACTTTAACAGAATGTTTATTCATACTTTTCGAAGAGCTATTACGGCACATTTCGTGAGTCTACATTAAATGGCGCTGGTCTCGTTTATATCTCACTAGTTCGCACGATCGCCATGTTGGTCGTGTTGATGAATCGGCGGAAAACAATACAGAAATTACCTGTAGTGTCGTGATGTTTATACCATCTGTTCTTTCAAAAATCTTGCTGATTGATTCATACACTAAGGGGCAATGCCCAGACATGTTATAACATGAATACACATGTTTATAATGCAATAGAAAATAATATTGAACGTAATAAATATACAATTTATACGACGTAATGTATACACATAGCTATATACCTTAACAATACATGGCATAACCAAACAACATAATGCAAATACGGCGCACCATAGA